ATAAAGATCTTTTGGTTGCTCCGAGTGTTGTGGTCACTTTCCTTTCACAAAGAAATTGAATAAATACTTTACAGAATTAGAAATATGAATGGTCAAAAATATATAAAAATGTTCAACTTCTCTAGCAATTAGAGAAATGCAAATTACAACTACACTGAGATTTCATCTCACTGCAGTCAGAACGAGAATTATAAAGAATACAAGTAACAATAAATATTGGCAAGGACGTGGGGAGAAAAGTACTCTGATACACTGTTGGTAGGGCTGCAAATTGGTACAGCCACTATGGAAAGCAGCATGGAGATTCCTTAGAAAACTTGGAATGGAACCACCATTTGACCCAATTATCCCAATCCTTGGTTTATACCCAAGAGAATTTAAAACAGCATACTACAGTGATGCAACCACATCAATGTTTATAGTCACTCAACTCACAATAGCCAAACTACAGAAACAACCTCAGTGTCCTTCAATGAATGAAAGGGTAAAAAAAAATTGATATATACACAATGAAATATTACTCAGTCATAAAGAAGAATGAAATAATGGCATTTGCCAGCTGTCCACAAAACACTCACCTAAGCATGAGGACACACATAGGTTGAATAGAAAAGGTGTGAAAAAGATAATCCATGTAACTTCATGTAAATTATAGCCAAAGAAAACAGGCGTGCCATACTTAATATCAAACAAAATGGATTTTAACTAAAAAAGTGGTATATTCTATGTGAGGATTAAAAAAGTTCAATTCATCAGGAAGATAAAACCATTATGAATATATGGGTACTCAACATCCCCGTACACAGATATGTGAGGCAAAAAATGCAAAAAGAAAGGAGGAAAAAAAGAGAACATCACAAAAAGAGTAAGAGACTTCAATACCTCACTTTTAATAATAAATAAAAATCTAGACACAAGATCACTACTGAGTGGCAGAGTGCTTGTCTAGCATGTATGGGGCACTGGGTTTGACCTGGAGCACCACATAAAAAATAAATAAATAAAGTAAAAAAAAAAAACAAAACTAACTTCTTAAAAATAATCACTAAGGTTTAGAATAACACTGTGGAGCAAATGGACCTACCACACATTTTCAAAACATTCCACCCAATAACAAAAAAATCTATACCTCTTTCTAGAGCATGCAAAAAAACATTTCCCAGGACAGATTACTCCTTAGGTCACAAATAAGACAATAAATTTCAGAAGATTGAACTAATGCCATGTATATTTTCTGAACAAAAGAAAGGAAAAATTCTTGAAAATGAAAATAATAAACTCTTGAGCAACAAATGCATAAGATAAAAATAAAAAGGGAAATTAGTATTTGGAGAAAAGCAAAAAAAAAAAAAAAAAAGCCAAAATTTATGGCATGCTGAAAAAAGAAGCACTGAAAAGAAAGTTTATAGGTAAAGTTTATAAAAATGCTTACAGGTTAAAGTCTACACTGCAGTAAGGTGTCTGGCAGTCTGCAAGTTGGCAGCAAGATCACCTGGGAAGATGCCAGGGGCAGTGATGGCAGAAGGCACCTTCAGTTTCAAAAAGTTGCTGAATCAGTGCAAGAACCAGGGGCTGGAGTCTCCTGGAGGAATTGCTATACCCCCAGTGTATGGTCAGCTTTTAGATTTGTATTTGCTCCACAAGGACACGAATAATGCAAGATGTCTTTGGAAAAGGATACCACCTGCTATCAAATCTGCAAATTCTGAACTTTGGGGAATTTGGTCAGTAGGACAGAGGATCTGGGAGAGAGATTTCCCTGGGATCTATATGACCATCTATGTCCACCAGTGGCAAAAGTTAGTCCAGCCAATCATGGAAGCACTTAGACATGCTACTAGGAGATATGTACCTTCCTTGAGGATTTATGAGGTTGTGAAAGTTATATTAGAAAAAAGAATGGCAAGCCGACTCTGTCAGGAGAATGGTTCGCCCAGAAAGCCAGTTGCAGATTCCCTGGATGTTTCCTGTAACAGGTTTATTTTTTTTCCAGAGCCTGCCCCAGTTCCACCAATCCTTAATGAACAGCAATTAGCCAGACAGACTGATTATGTGGCTCTCCTTGAAAATTGATGCACCATTCTGAGTTCAGCATCCAATTCAAATCTTATACAATGACAAATATAGAAATGTAAAATGTTCATTTTACTGGATGGATTATTAGCACCTCAGCATTCTTACTATGTAATTAAATACTATATATATATATAT